TCAAATGATAATCTTATCCACATAACTTACACGAGCCGGTAGCGCCCCGAGCCGAGGCGTGCCGAACGCTCACACACGAGGATTAAACATGTAAAAGTTGTCGTTGGAATAAAGCACACATTCCCCGGTATCCGGCACCTAGCTAATAAAGCCAGTATCAATCAAGGGAATATTTCCTTTCATTTACAGTGGGAAATGTCAGATATTTGACCCCCTTTAAAAATGTGACCTGTAGATTGTTCTGTAACTCTAACAGTAAATTAATGATAATGGAGGTAGAATTGTTTTATGCCGCTTTCAACGTGGCCATTAATTAGAGTGAGTGAGTGAGTAAATGAGTGAGTTTACGCCGCTTTTAGCAGTATTCCAGCAAAATCACGACGGGGGACACCAGAAATCGGCTTCACACATTGTACCCATGTGGGGAATCGAACCAGTCTTCGGCGTGACGAGCGAACGCTTAACCACTAGGCTACCCTACAGCCCCTTTGATGTTATCAAGTGCGTGGGTATAGTTTTACAGCCGTTTTAACAATAATTGAACAATATCCCGACTGGGGTCACTTTTGGCTTCATCCGTTCTAACCGTGTTGGGTTTTGAACCCGGAACGAACAAACACCTTTACCACTGGGCTAACCCACATCACAGCTGACTATAATGAGAGACATCTATAGCATCAATCTCACCTGTCAAGGGTCAGATGGTATTCGTGTTAAGTGACAGTTCGACACATACAAGTGCACGTAACAAGAAAGACAGATACAAGGAGGACCGCTTCAATTACTTAGTTTGTTTATCTGTGTGTTTAATTGTTTGTTTTACGGCACAGTCAGCAACACTCTGGCCAATTGAAAGGCACTCTGGAAATAATCGAGTCTGGACCAGGCAAATCATTCATATCTTGTGACATGTCTTGCAAAGATACGCGTGAGTGAGTGAGTTTAGTTTTACGCCAAACTCGGCAATATTCCAACTATATGGCGCCATAATGGCGGCGGTCTGTAAATAATCCAGTCTGGACTAGACAATCCAGTGATCAACATCATGAGCATCGTTCTACGCAACTGAGATATGATGACCTGTCAACCAAGTCAGCGAGCCTGACCACCCGATCCTGTTAGTCGCCTTTTACGACAAGCATGGGTCACTGAACATCAATTCTAACCCGGATCTTTACGGGTTCGGTGATAGGCCAACTATGTAATCAAGCTTAACCACATATCTCACGGACATCAGGGAATCCGTTCTAACCTACAATCTGGATGGTGGTCCATGGTATATAATTTATTCAAATCTAAAATCGTTCTAGTAAGTAATGTCTTTTTGCACCACCCTCAATATTCGCGTCCATGGTATATAATTTATTTAAATCTAAAATACCTGGGTTCAGTTCTAGTATAGTAATGTCTTTTTCATTCCACCACCCTCAATATTCGCGTCCATGGTATATAATTTATTCAAATCTAAAATCGTTCTAGTAAGTAATGTCTTTTTGCACCACCCTCAATATTCGCGTCCATGGTATATAATTTATTCAAATCTAAAATCGTTCTAGTAAGTAATGTCTTTTTGCACCACCCTCAATATTCGCGTCCATGGTATATAATTTATTCAAATCTAAAATCGTTCTAGTAAGTAATGTCTTTTTGCACCACCCTCAATATTCGCGTCCATGGTATATATGAAAGACTGTCGGGGGGGTTCGTCTCAAGACGACAGTCCCTCAGAAGACTCCCCTTCATTCCGAGCACGGAGTGTGCGAGAATGTCAAACAGTCTGGAGATGGGGCTAAATACCACGTCCCTTACACTGGCGGCGTGAAACGTACACACTCATCAGCCTTGTCACCAGACTGTTGCGACATTGAATAACGCTTTATGGCAGTCTCTGTGGGTTAGAGACAGTGGCCAATGGCGTGAAAGCATTCAGTGTATTGGACACTGGGATACATTTCTATTCTTTTCAGATTAAGCCGCTCAAAGGGAAAATCATCTAATTCTACTTTTTCAAATAATGCAACGCAAATTTTTAAAAAGTGTCCTGGTTCCATCAAACGGTAATCAAAGTTGTCCCCGAGTTGTTACCAAACATTTTTCCTACGGGCTGGGTGCGTTTGTACGAAAGAATCTTAGCGTTAACATAGCTAGATCGCGGAGGTGTACGATCGGTTGTAAGAAGCGATCTTAGCTATCCAGCTATGCCAAGGATAATTCTTACCACGACATCTTGATGTAACTTGTGTCACGAATTAAATGTCAATGTAGAAAGTTTGTAAAACAGCATAGATATATTTCAAAATTTCCCAAATAAGTTCTCTGACTTATATCGCAAATGTCCAGGGGTATTTTTTTTAGTATTTCTGGACCTAGATTTTCTAAGCTCTCCTAGTGTTAAGATGGTCGTAATGGGGAGTTTGGTGTCTAACGTAAAGATTATTGAACTCATAAGGACGTGCCTTGCTGCTCGTTTTAGTACGGACTAGACCCGTGAAGATCCGGGGTAGAATAGGTCTTCAGCAACCCTTGCTTGCCACAAAAGGCGACTATGCTTGTCGTAAGAGGCGACTAACGGGATCGGGTGGTCAGGCTCGCTGACTTGGTTGACATATGTCATCGGTTCCCAATTACGCAGATCGATGCTCATGCTGTTGATCACTGGATTGTCTGGTCCAGACTCGATTATTTACAGACCGCCGCCATATAGCTGGAATATTGCTGAGTGCGGCGTAAAACTAAACTCACTCACTAGTACGGAGGAACTACGGTTTTAGAGAACAAGCCCACTGATATGTCATGCCGCATTTCCTTTCTAAAAAGACACGCATAGATACCCCGACAAAAACTATACCGACTCCAAGCTGCCAAGTCCTTTCTTGACCGTAGATAGGTTCTAAACAGGTTAACAAAAAGTACCATTTTATAACGTCCTTAGGTCGGCATGATTTACCCCTTTAATGCCGAACGTCAGGCAGGGTTAGTGAATGAGTTTAGTTTTACTCCACTTTTAGCAATATTCCAGCAATATCACGGCGGGGGACAACAGAAATGGACTTCACACATTGTACCCATATGGGGAATCTAACCCGGGTCTTCGGCGTGAAGAGCGTACGCTTTAACCACGTGGCTACCCCACCGCCCCTCAGGCAGGGTGAAACAAGCACAATAAACTACGATTATAACGAGGTCAAATGGACCACTAATTTGATTTCGGTATACCCGTATTTCGTTATAAGCATTTCGACTAAAACACACATGGCCGGTATAAAAAGGGACCAGTTCGTTATATCCTTCATTTCGTTCCAAGCGCATTCGTTACTGTACCGTCTTTTAACGACTTTCCGCTCTCCGGGACGGCGCTCTATTCACTAGACCAAGGAGAGAGTCTTAGAATTCTTTTTAAAAAGACACGCATAAACAAAGATTACATTGCATTATGTATCGGATACAGATGGTGCAACAGAAATGTCATAATTCATAGTTTATAGGGTCCCTAGCAACATGGAATGCTTGATAACGAACATACAATAATGCGTAACAAACCATCCGCACAGTACTGTGAAGGATGAAGGTTGTAAACCACAACCTTGTCGTAACCCCGTCAAAACTGTCAACAGAGCGCTTTGGGATGGCATTGAGCGATTAGACTTAAAAGCCAACTTGCGACAACTGCTAAGGTGCATTCCCGTATATTACACAGACACCTCATGGAGAACTGTTTAGCATGCTATTTCACCACTAAGCCATAGACAAGTAATCGGTACAGGTCTCCCCAATATCAGGCCTTTATGGTGTAATGACAGTGGAATAGTTATTGTCGAAACCGTCTCTACTTAAAACTCGCTAGTTTAATACACTTTTCAATTCGCTCCATCGCGCGTAGGATGGGAGAAGTTAAGTGTGAGCTATTTCACAGAAAGGATCCTTTTATCCCCTGTACCCAAGCCAATAGCGCACGTTAGTTAAAGTATTATTATATACTTCTAGACCAAGTCAGGGCCTCATAAATCGGGGACCCCTTGTAGTTCTTAGTCTTGGAGAAAATCACTCAAAAGAATCCCAATGTCATCCACCCGTTTCTGGTGGGTACGTCGGGAGTTCGGGAATGCAACAGAATGCAACAAGGCTCCGCCTCGCTGGGTATAAACTCACATCATCATCATCGCTCTCCGCTAAACCTTAGAAGTCTTTAAAAAAAAGGTTGTTTACCTTTGTGAACAGTTTCAACTATGGCGTGTTTCTCATGTATGATTATCTTATGTGTGGGGCGTGTGCTCGCCGCCCGGGCTGTTAAACCTCGTGTCTTTGAAACTAGGATGATGAAGATGATGATGACGATGACGATGATGGGAAAGAGCCGGGTGATAATTAGATTAGGAACTAATAAAACGACGACGATGGTGTTGATGATGATAAAGTTGATGATGATAAAGTTGATGATGATGAAGTTGATGATGATGATGATGATGATAATGATGATGACGACGACGATGATGATGGGAAAGAGCTTGGTGTTAATTAGATTAGGAACTAATAAAACGACGACGGCGGTGTCGATCAATACATTTTTCAGAATGGTGATGATGATGATGATGACGTCCACGACGACGGTGGTCGTGATGGTGATACGCGAGATAAAAACACGTTGTGTCATCCGCGTAAACAGCGACGTTGGCAGGTGTTTGAATGTAATATATCGACATTTAAAACAAATACATTTTCAAAACTGATTGATCATGATGATGGGAAAGACGGTGGTGATAATTAGATTAGGAACTTAGAAAACGACGACGGTGGTGTTGATCAATACATTTTCAGAAATGGTGGTGGTGATGACGACGACAGTGGTGGTGGTCGTGATTGTGGTGGCGATACGTAAATTAAAAACGCATTGCTTCTGCATTGTTTCATCCACATAATATAGAATGTATGAATATATCGACATTTAAAACTAAAATACATTTTCAAAAGTGATGATGATGATGATGAAAACCCGAACTTACCGGTAAACATTCGCACTTGACACACACCATGGTCCCATGGGGAAGTAGAGCTGGGCTCCACCGCTGTTCCAAGTGGTAAAACGTCCCCCCCCAAGCCAACAGCCTACATTTAGAAAAGCTTTTATGAGACAAGAATAGGCATATTCAGCAGATCAGATTCTCGCTCCGAGAAGCGCATAAACAGCACGTAGCAAAGGCAACCTAGTCCAACATTCGACGATATGTCAGTACTACAATAGCAAGCTATTCACGAAATGTAAAACCCGAAATCAAATTATTTCAAATAAAATACATCAGAATAAGGTATGCGGCAACATCGTCACATCTATATCAACTCATTCATAAGAATATTAAAAAACTTTATTAACAAAACTGAAATACGGTAAAGGAACGTTGAAATACAGCTGAGGTCAGTTTTATGTAAAGCTCGAATCAAACCGAAACGCGGGCGAGGCCATGCATGGAATTCACATGTTCAATAACACCGCTGATTTGTTCAATGTATGAATGGAAGGTTCAGTAACAGGGTAGCGATTTAACATTTGAAAAGCAGGTTCGTATAGGGCGGCGATACGAAGAACGACGACTATAGAAAAACTTGTATGAGCTAGACATATTATGACTACGGCCATTCACGGCTTCCTCTATCACAAATATCAACAGACGCTTTGCTATATCACAGTCGAGGCGTTTAGAACGTCGACCGTACATTGCAACTGTAATAGCTCTAGCCAAATCTCCACTCGAGTCGCAAGACGGAGATAAGAGGAAAAACTCAAACAGATACTTTGTGATTCTATATCTATGTTCAACTGTTGCTCGTTCACCCCGACAATTATCTGTGGTAGCGGTTGAAAAAATATTTTCATAGAAGCATTGGCAGTTGTACGTAAACAAGCTTAATGAAATAGATATCATGAATGCAACGAGTTGAAATTGACATCCTTCCCCAGCACTGATAAACGAGGACGATGCATACACATTACTTATAAATCTTTTAAGCAAACAATATATCAAATTACATGTTTACCCTATTGGATATTTATGGTTACACGAGTAAATATTTAGGACGTCATGCCGTCCGATTTTGACAAAATGACTCCAGTGCGATATCTACGTAAGGTAATTCTTACCTGGAGTTCGGCTTTGCTTGTGTTCCACTTTATCCTCTATTAAAGGAAACTTTTTAAATTTTCGACAATCAAATCCAGGTATGGTCACAAATAACAGAAATATAAACATCCCGAATTGGGAGCCTAGCCTTCGTGTATCCATTTCCCCAGCGAATGAAGACCTTGTATATCCGAGTGTGGTCGATGCTCTGTGTCGGACTATCACGAGTCGCTAGGATCCGTTCACCCCCGACATTCGGCTTGGATTGAAATTGTGACAATCACACGACGATCTTAAACACAGACCAAATAAGCTTAAAATCACAATTAGAAAAAATCTCATTAAGCGTATGCCATGTGCTTGGGCCGAGTGTACACACATGCCTGCGCTGCATGAGCTGGAGTGAGTTTCATGCCTCGAGTGAGCGTGCACGCTGACTGGCGGCGCTCGCTATACCTGGCCCGCTTCTCGCCTGCTCAGCCTAGTCTATCGCTCGCTTGAGTCTCCCGCAACAAGTTGTTCGCATGCATGCTAACAGCTAATAAACAATATTAATTGGAGTTTAATTACTGAATGGGTACATATCCGAAATGATAGTTTGGTCTGCTTGACCAGATGTGTTTGACATGCAGTTAACATGGGATATTGATAAATGTGAACTTGACGTGTCTTGTGCCGAGGTCTTTGTGATGGTGTGAATGTGGGGAAATTGAAAACTGTCTAATTGGAAATTACGGAGGTTTGCGAATGGTCACTCGTACTTTTGTTTCGGTAATTGCCCAGTGGTAATTGTGGGGTTTACAAAAGCGAGATCTTGAAATCTCAGTAATATATAGAGTGTTACGAGATACCCACTCCGGGGTATATATTTCAACTGCTGGGATATCATCCCCTCGTTTCGGGTCCGGGTTAGAAGACTTACAAAATCGTGATACATGCCTGTCTATAAAAATATACTGAGTTAGGTTCGAGAAGGATTCTTAAGATTGATCAAATGTTTCAAGACAGCTTTATTGTCGTATTGTTTAAATCAGTGGAATTCTGTCGATTTTATTTTTTAAAAATATTATGCATCTGCAATTCCTTATACATTACGTTGTTATGAAAAAAGCATGTGGGTATTTCATGAAATATAACTGGGTCTTATAGCCTTGTAAGATTTTACTAAATTCACGTCAGTCAGATTCTAACATTGTTTATTACAATTTTGCTGGGGCCAGTGTACTACTTCGTATAAGTCATATTATCTTAACAATATATTCAATGCTTATCAATGATGTATCATATTTGTACTTTAAGCATGTTGGTACACATATAAGCCTATATACACACTGTAGTTTGTGAATGGTCAGTGTCTTATGAGACTATAAAGACTGAATGATGTTCGTGTAGAGTTCTAAGTAATTTTGAATACCGTGTAAAACTTACATGAACCTAATTCTGGCTGTCTCCCTGTTCGCATTTTGTTCATTTTACTTTGACGTATCAAGTGACACATTCATTCATTCATTCATTCATTCATTCATTCATTCATTCATTCATTCATTCATTCATTCATTCATTCATTCATTCATTCATTCATTCCCATCCATCCATCCATCCATCCAAACCCTCCCCCACCATCCATCCATCCACAAACCTTCCCCCACCACCCATCCATCCATCCATAAACCCTCCCCACCAACCATCCATCCACAAACCCTCCCCACCACCCATCCATCCATCCACAAACCCTCCCCCACCATCCATCCATCCAAAACCCATCCATCCATCCACCCAAAATCCATCCATCCACCCACCCACTCATGTTCACGCTCATCACAAATGCGTTAACCCACCACCCCAACACTACCCCAGCCCGGGAGTCGTTGCTTACTTGGACCCAAAACACAGCATCCCCATGTGTAAATTACCTGCGTGAGTTATGCTCCCAACCGACTACTTCATATCAGGTATTTGATAGTGTTTGTAAACATACACCTTCTACATTTATATATAGCGGTAGGTACGATGCCTTTCAACATTGTGCGTCTAATTATAGAGGAGGGTGTTTTACTGATGGAACGTTTGGGCACGCCTCATTGTGTCTAGGCGGCAAGACGACGTCGTGAACAGCTATTGCACTTATTTGAAACTCCCGTGGGAGAACATATATGACTCATTGCTTAATAGTTTTAATTATTTCATACAGACTGTATGTACACGACAAGTAGACGGTTTTGTTGTAATATTAAATTCTGCAACGTTGAAGTTGGCTTAACTGTCTCCATGCCTAAAGTGAGTTGATCCATCTTAAAGTGGTGTGAGATGATAGACAGTGTAAGGCCTAACGTCATCAGCCGCAAGGACGTTAGTAATCATTGAAGGTTCCATTCTATCACGTGAACATGTAGTCTAGCATCTTGTCTCTGAAATAAACAAATCTTACGAATAAAACAATATCTTTAACTTTTTTAGAAAGAGTGAGTGAGTGAGTTTAGTTTACGCCGCACTCAGCAATATTCCAGCTATATGGCGGTTTAAAATGAACCAAGAGACGTTTATCGGCCCTGAAACTGCAGTAATCTAGACTTACCTAATATTATAGGCAGCATTCATTCATTCATTCATTCATTTTACTTTTTCCCCCTCATTAACCCTATTCCTAAACTTTATAGAAATTGATATACATTCAGGGTTAGCATTTTAACGATATTTAAATTTATTTTTATCGATGGAATGGATACTGATTCTTTCTGTCAAACCAGATTCCGCCATTTCCACTCACGTGTGAAAATTAAATCCAAGGTGTTGTAAGTTAATTTCTTCTATTGAACGACGCATTTAAATACGTGTATATAATCCCGTTGATTGTAAAATCAACGCTGCGGTAATTAAACAAACCTGTTGATGACTTGTTGACACTAATCTTTCAGCTGATCAGCGCAAGTGACGTAATAACAGCTATTGAGAAATCACTAACAGGTTGCGTTTCGGCGCTTTGATCTCCTGTGTGTTTTGTGTTAGGACTGAAATGTGTGTTTAACAATTTGCGAGGCGGAAAATTCCGCCCCATTGAAGTCAGTAATACGCCAACGAGCTTTCTTTTCTTTGTCAATACTACAGATGTTTGCAAACTGTTGACTCAGCAATTCCGCTGCACCGAGTTTGTATTTGGTAGCAACGATTTCGCAAAGTAAATAAACTTTGTGGTTGTCATGGTTACGCATTATTGTTATTGTTTACGCGAAGGAGGACATGGGTTCATGCTACAATATGTCTTATGAAATTTGCGACTGCAGGATGTTTGTTGAAATGTTCCCCGAGGGGAGGGTTTGTTGATCATTGTGGAACAATCTGGCGCCTATAGCACAATCACACGTGGGGACTCATGTACAACCATCACTGTCCCTCCACCCAACTGTGGACCAGAAACCTCATCACAACACACATCCCTTACATTAAAACTTTGCCACAACCGACCTAACCCACCCTGATGACTGAACTTCGACGACAACACAATCTCACACCTCAATCCGAATCCCCCATCACCCTCACACCAAAATCCCGTATACCCCACAATCACCCTCACACCAAAATCCCGTATACCCCACAATCACCCTCACACCAAAATCCCGTATACCCCACAATCACCCTCACACCCTAATCCCGAATACCCCAATCACCCTCACACCCGAATCTCGTACACCTCACAAACACCCTCTCACCCTAATCCCGTACACCTCACAATCACCCTCTCACCCTAATCCCGTACACCTCACAATCACCCTCTCACCCTAATCCCGTATACCCTACAATCATCCTCTCACCCTAATTCCGTACACCCCACAATCACCCTCTCACCCTAATCTCGTACACCCCACAATCACCCTCTCACTCTAATCTCGTACACCTCACAACCCCCTTCTGTCACCCTACATTCCTGTACACCCTAATTCTCACTCTATCATCTCACCCTAATCATCCTCTACCACAATCACCCCAATCACCCTCTCACCCTAATTCCACCCTAATTCCTACAATCATCCTCTCACCCTAATTCCGTACACCCCACAATCACCCTCTCACCCCTAATCCGTACACCCTACAATCACCCTCTCACCCTAATCCCGTACACCCCACAATCACCCTCTCACCCTAATCCTGTATACCTCTACAATCACCCTCTCACCCTAATCCCGTACACCCCACAATCATCCTCTCACCCTAATTCCGTACACCCCACAATCACCCTCTCACCCTAATCCCGTATACCCTACAATCATCCTCTCACCCTAATTCCGTACACCCCACAATCACCCTCTCACCCTAATCCTCGTACACCCCACAATCACCCTCTCACCCTAATCCCGTACACCTCACAATCACCCTCTCACCCTAATCCCGTACACCCACTCAATCACCCTCTCCCTCACCCTAATTCCGTACACCTCACAATCACCCTCTCACCCTAATCCCGTACACCTCCACAATCACCCTCTCACACCCTAATCCTGTACACCCCACAATCACCTCTCTCACCCTAATCTCGTACACCCCACAATCACCCTCTCAATCCTGTACACCCTACAATCACCCTCTCACCCTAATCCCAGTACACACAATCACCCTCTCACCCTAATCCCGTACACCTCACAATCACCCTCTCACCCTAATCCCGTACACCTCACAATCACCCTCTCACCCTAATCCCGTACACCTCACAATCACCCTCTCACCCTAATCTCGTACACCCCACAATCACCCTCTCACCCTAATCCCGTACACCTCACAATCACCCTCTCACCCTAATCCCGTACACCTCACAATCATCCTCACACCCTAATTCCGTACACCCCACAATCATCCTCACACCCTAATCCCGTATACTACGATGAAAGTGGGAACAGCCCTGTTGCTGAGGAGTACCCGCAGGAGGCATAGTTCATTAATGAGTTAATCAACACAGAAGACATTGTTCTTTGAAGAGCATTTATTGTTTTCAATAGATACTGAAATACTGAAAAAAAATATCGTGAACTGGTGATATATTCTACTTGTTGAAGGCCTGCCATAATGGTGATCGGAAAGAGCAGTCAAAGGTTAATAAATACATTTGGATTAATTATTGTTACAACAGTTATTGCTAGATTTTTCAAACACGTAAATATGAGTAGGTAAATTAATTTCTCTTTCAAATGATCACGAAGTTACCTACACAAAGTGTTTATGTTTTAAAGCCATTTACCTGAGTAGGTTAATTACTTTATCTTTTAGAGTTTCATTAAGTTACCTCCACAAGATTCAGTTAAATAGCTTATCCATAATTAGCTGGGGTTAATCCATTCTATCAGATAGGGGTGTAAGGTGTGTCTTCTTTCCTAATCACCTACTCCACTGTCTCACAACTGGGAGTCTCACAACTGGGAGTTCTCACAAATGGGAATAGACCAAAAGGGGCGGCTGGTAGCCT